AACCTGAAAGCCGCTCAGTGCTGGAGAAACTCAAGTCCACCATCAGCCCAGGACGATCAGCACCACCAAGCACTGCTGAGGATGAGAAAAAACAGGTACTGGAAGTTTAAAGCTGCTGTAAGCGATTGTTTAATCTAATAGCACTTCCTTCTAAAATATAGAATTTTATTCATATTAAACTTTTTAACAAATCTTTTTTTTCACACACAGTAAAACTGGTCTTTATGCATGAAAGTAAATGATACCCTTCCTAACATGTAAAGGCAGACATCAAATGTAATGGTCCGTGGCATACAGAATTTGAAAAAACCCTGGTTTAGACCATCAGAAAACTTTTTCCGCTTGTCAGTCATTTTGAACATTGGTCTAAATTAGGCTAGTTAGTGAAATGGCTAACATTTCATAGAACTTTAAAGGAGCTGGAAGACACACTTTGGCCCAAGTTCTGGAAAAGTGTAATCAGCAAACAGATTACAAGCAGACACTGAAACAAGCATATTGATCTGAGAGGTTATTTAGAGTCTCATTAAAATGAATATGGACATGTGCTGATTGCACTATAAAGATATTGAAAGAACGCACAAGTGATCAAAAATCAGCTGAAGCATTTAATGAAGTAGTTTTGGTTTATTATGCTCTACATGACATACAGTACCTCACTCTTGTAAACATGACTCTGTACCTGTTTCCTGTGCAGCTGGCTCTGATGGAGGCTCGGGCTCAGTACCAGAACATGACCAACATGGAGCTGATAGCTCTGCTGCTTCAGCAGGAAATGGATGTCAAGAAGCAGCAGGCTGAAACTGAGGTGCTGGTGGTATTATTGGAGAAACGTGAGGCCGAACTGAAGAAGATGAAGGTTCAGGTCAGAGACCTGGAGGACTACATTGATAAGCTGCTGGTGCGCATCATGGAACAGACGCCGACCTTGCTGCAGGTACGCGCCAGGCCAAAATGACTACAGTGACCTGCTCCATCCCAAGAACACTTCATATTGAGCGAAAGCCATTTGTGATGCTCCATTAAATTTCAAAACTGCCAGATTCACGTAGACACGATAAAGCTTTGCATGCTTCTTACTGGATTTCCA